TATTTTTATAAAAAATTATATTATTAAACCTAAAATAAATTATTAATCGTAGAATAAATTTTAATCAAGAGATTGAACTAAAAAATTTATTTTCACAAAAACAAAACATTATTATTAGACCTAAAATAAATTACTTCGTTATTAAACCTAAACTAAATTATATTAAAAAATTAAATTTACTAAAAAAATTAAATTAAAAGATGATATACAAAACGAGAACTTTTAAATTGTTAATTTGATACTAGTTTCTATATAAAAGTTTATCGATCTTCAAATTTATATTTTATTCAAATATAAAAGCATTATCGTTTTTTCAAAATCATGTTACAAACTCGGCCCTCTCTCTCTCTCTCTCTATATATATATATATATAGAGAGAGAGATATATATATATATATATATATATATAGAGAGAGAGAGAGGTGAGTTATTATACAACCTCTTACATTTGTATAATAAATACAACTCAATCTCAACTGTTCATTTAATTTGACAATATGTAATTTCATAGAAGTTTTGATTGTTTTCTACATATAGAGAGTTTGTTTCAAATGCAATCCATCACAATATTTGTACAACTAATGTAACCCAATAAATTAAAATATTTATGGAAATGATGAGAGCTCATTTATTATGATTTGAATATTTATAAAAGATGAATAGAGTTCATTAATTATGATCAATACTTTATATTAGAAAACAATTAAAACTTCTATAAAATCACATATTTATTAAAATGAACAATTGAAATTAAGTTGTATTGATTGTATAAATGTAAATGGTTATATAATAACTCACCCCTCCTTTACACACACTCTCTCTCATATATATATATATATATATATATATATTTATTTATAGAGGGAGGCTAATGACACCCCTCCTTTTTACTTATGGCACCCCTATTTCCTAATATAATTATTTTTTTTGTATTCTTTTTGTGATTTTATCTTTTTGTTGTCTTCTTCTTTTCTATATTAATTTTTTTACTTATTTTATTTAATTATAAATATAATATTATTATAAATATTATTTATTATTCTCTA